ATATATATACCCTGAAAACACGACAGAATTCCCCAATGTGTATATTAGAAAAGACTAAAGAAAGCCATAAAGTACAGGTACTTGTTATTTACATGTACATTCTACACACATATAAGTGTATATTCAGTTGAATTCAGTAATGTGATATTTTCTTTGGAATTTATGTATTATAATCATGAGTGAATTTTCTTACCTACATTTTTCTTTTTCATAATATCCTTATCCAATTTTGGATTCAAGTTTTAGTATATTTTTAAAGTGGCATGGAGAGAAGTACTAGTTAACTTTTTGCATTGTCATAATAAATTGATAGCTTAAGACAACAGAGCTGTATTCCCTGGCCAATCTGGAGGCAAGCCAGGAAGTCACGGTGTGACAGGCCCCACTCCCGCAGGAGGGAAAGACCAGATTCTGGTGCCTGCCCACATTCTCTGGCTTGTGGTCCCATCATGCTGATCTCCGAGCCCCTGCATATTACCTCCGCCTCTTCTGTCCCAAATCTCTGTCTTCTATTAAAGACACCTGTGACAGCTGTCAGGGTCCGCTCACCCGGTAAATTTCTCAAGGTCCTTCAGATAATCACATATTTCTCTGTCTTTTGTAATATTCACTCTTTTGTCATATGAGTTAATTCACAGGTTCAAGTATAAGGACTTGTGGGTATTTGGGAAACCACTATTCAACTCACTGCAAGGAGCCTTATCTCCTATTTCATATTCTGGAGTGATTTTTTAAAAATAGAGATTAACTGTTCCATGAAAATCTCTATAAAATCTCCCCCCCACATTTTGAACTAATAATTTATATAATGAATTACAATGAATGATTTTAAACTAATTATTCAATTTTCTTAACATTTATAAATCGAGTTAAGTTTTCCTTTTCATCTTGAGTTACTTTGGGCTAAATCTATTCTCCTCAAAATTATTCAGTTTCTCTAAGTTTTAAAAGTATTGAAAGAATAGGATTTGTAACATTTAGTTGAGATTTCTCCATGGCTATTACATTTTTAATACAATCTGTTCTTTTTGTGACAAATATTATTTATGTAGATTTTCTGTAATTTCTAGATAAATCTCGCCTAACACGCTTCAGTGCATTTTTATGATAAGTAAAATAATATTACTCTTATTAATTCCCTATTTTGTGTTTACAATTTTTACTTTCATCATTATTTTTTTCTTTTTATTTTCTTGGGGTATTTGCTTGCCTGTTTTGTTGCTGTCTTGAGCGGTGTATATTCTTATTACATTAACATCCCCCTTTCATTTTTTCTAAGTATGCACTTGAGGTATACACTTTTCCCTAAACATTGAGTTAGCTGTATTTGCAAAGTTATGACATGTTATGGTTTTATTTTTCAGCTTTAAATATGTTATCTTTCTCAACTCTTAGGGCCGGGGATTTAGCTCAGTGGTTCCACCGCCTGCCTCGCAAGTGCAAGGTCCAGAGTTCAATCACCGGTACCAAAAAGAAAAAAAAAACAAAACCATAAATTACATAAAAGTACACTTAAATTTTTTCAAATACACTTTTGCAACAGCTTTCTAATTTTATTGCATTATTATTAGGGAACGGGGTCCTTATGAGTTCTTTAATATTTGTTGAGAATTACATTGTGAACTGTTAAATTTTGGAAAATGATTACTCTGAAATCAAACATAGTATGTACTAATTTTGGCATATCAGTCTAATGGAGTTTTTATTTTATATTACTTTGTTAAAAATCTGTATCTTAGTTTTTGTTCAATTGGACATCCCCACTAGCTTTTGATTGTTTGATCTATGTATATTACAAAAAGAGAAGTGCTAAAAATCTTATTATAGTTACAGATTTATTATATACCCCTTTCTTCTTATAATTCTCTCAATTACTGCTTTATATATTTTGAGCCTATGTTGTTAAGATATACAAATCTAACATTTGTATATATTTCTGCTGAACTATTCCTTTCATTGTTATATATAAATGTTCTATGTTTCTGATATTTCCTTTTGGCCACAAGTAATTACTCTGATGTTAATAGAAACATAACAGGTTCATTGTATTTTCCAAGCCTACTTTTAAATGTTTTATCTCTTAAAAGTAACGTATAGTTCTGCAAATATTTGAATAATTGTTCCTAATCAATATGCATTGCTCTCCATTTTGAATTTTTTCTTTTTTTTCAGCTTTCCAGTGTGTATCTTCTTTTCTTTATTCACATATTTTCCCCACCATGTCCATAGTCTACATAATTTATACTGCATTTCTACTTAAATTTTAATTTTTCACCTAGGGTCATTTACCTGATCTTTCTGTGTACATCCTTCTGAGCTTCTCTATTCCAAGAAAGAAAATGATAGTAAAGTATTCTTAACAGAGTCACTGTTAGAATTAAATCGGGTAATATATTTAACACATTGAGTATTTAGCCTATCATCAGACTCATAGTAAATACCCAACATTTAAAAGTAGATTGTGGTCATTATTATTACTTTTTGAATCTTTGCTATATGTATCTGAAAGTTTTTCCAGACATTCTGCTCACTGAAAATTTTTGAGAAATAGATTGTATATTCCAGGGCAATAAGAGTTTACTGGTGTGTGGGAGTTTAATTATGTGCTTTCCTGTCAAAGCTTTTAGCGGGAAGTCAGGCTATCAGTGCTGTGGGGAATTGATTGATTAACTCAATCAAGATCATCCTCAAAGATGGCTCCAAAAATACATCTGACAGCTTGTGGCTGAGGAAATCAGTCAGCCTTTAGGACTGGGAGGAGTCAGGTGGAGAGATCATTTTCTCTGAGTTATTAGTTCTGCAGAAGAAGAGTGTTATGTGATAACCCCATGTGGAGAACCCTTCCTCTTACTTGCCGAGTTTTAAAAATATCTCCTCAAAATACACTCCAAGAAGATTTTGTTGCAGTCTTTAGAGTTAGTAGATGTTTATTTGATCCTCTGAATATATTTTTAACATAGACTATACACTGCAGAATAAGTTGTAATTCTCATGAAAAATGCATTTCAGAGGGGTCATTTTGAACACTGGGTCAAACATAGAAGAGGGCCTATTTCACATTACCAGGTAATGTGGTGCACACCAAATGCCTGTGTTCTCAAGCCTGAGACAGTAACACACACATACCACGACAATGTATCTGAAAGACTGTCTTGAAGTCAGACAAAAATATAAAGACAAATCTCTAAGAAAGGCGCGTTCACTCAGTACTAAAGAATAGGATTGCAATCTGGAAGGCAGAGGTACAGGCCATAAGGACATCTGGTATGTTCAGGGGACAAAGGAAAGGTTGAAGGGCTTTATTAGCTCACAGGAACCCATGCAAGTTACTCTGAATGAACATTTATGGACAGCTTGGGTGAGCGGGCAAGCTCTGACTGGCCAGTGATAGCAGTTACTAAATAAAGCTGGTCCTAACATAATAGTGGGCAGTGCTGACGTCAGTTGCTAGGTAAAAATAGTCTTAAAAACATGACAAGTTACTTCTTTGGACTGGTTCTGTACAATAGCTCCTGGACAAGTTCCCAAGACCGGAGAGCTTCCCCTTCTTACCTGTGGCTCCCTCCTGCATTTTAGTGGGATGTGACAAGGATGACTCCATTCTGTGCAATAAGTGTTCACAACTTAATAAGGCAGCACGTTCTCCTTGGCTTCTTTCTGTGCTTGATTAGGCTAATGGCTCACCAATCAGGCTGACCAAAAGCAAAACTGAAATCAAATTTGTCTCGATCTGTAGCAACCATGTCTGAGCCCTCTCTCTCTCTCTCTCACCCTTCCTCCCTCCCTCTCTCTCCCTCCCTCCCTCTCTCTCCTTGTCTCTTCCTCCATCCTTGCTCCAATTCACTTTGTCCCTCTCTCTTTCCATCCCTCCCTAAACTCACTTTTACCGCAGATGGTCTTGCTCCACTGAGCAGGAAATACTGTTGAACCCAACCTAACTGGGCATCACATCACGAGAGATGATATTTCCCTTGGTTTCAGATAAAATCATCTAAGAAAAAATTCTAATCATTCTCAATCAGTTCATTTGACTTTTGACCTTTGGGCAAATTTTCACAGTGACGAAAGAGGGACATTCTTTGTAATCCATCCTTTACCTCTCCACCAGCGAGATTATTCTAAACTACCATTACAGTTCTATCTCTCCTTGCCTGTAAGACCTCTCTTTCTCCATCTACAAGGAAAAAATTAAGATACCTATTGTTTGCTGCCACATTTACTGCTGGAGTAAAAAATACACCAGGGCCTGCATTTTTGCCTTTCACAAAAGTCAAAATGGCCTTGCTGAACAGCCCTTGTGGAAATCCCTGGAATCTCTTAAAATGGACTTAGATGTCATCTTCTAGGCAATTTTTTTTTCAAGTTGTCCCAAATAAAGCTATTAACTACTATTTGAGACTATTTTACACTTCTTGTGCTTTTGCTGGCACTCTTGTAACACTCTTATATTAACATGCTCTCTTTTCCTAATACATTTTCTAGTAATACTTAGAGGTTCTTCATATTGTCTAAGGATGTGGGTGAGAACCTATCGCACACGAGCTGCAGTGAGCACACACAACCCTCTGTCAGCTCACGAGCAAAGTCCAGTAGCTAAGCATTGGATAACAGTTGTTTTTTTCTAAACTAAAACCTCAGTATTCAGGTTTAATTGCAGTGTTGGCACTTTGTGATAAATAAGTGGGTTTTGGCTTGCAGTTTGAGAGCTCAGTCTCTAAAAGTTTTGTCATCACTGAAGGTAATGCTTAGCCCAAAGTAGATGCTCCATTTGATGTTTGCTGAAAGAAACTATAGCACAGATCTCCCTTGATTTACAGTCCTCTGTTCTATGGCTTCCTTTCACACTAAAGTTTGAATGTAGAGAACTTCTCAGTGCACCCTCAGTGCACTGTGCTTAACACACATATAGTAGCTGCTAAGTCAGTCGGCATTGAGGATTGTAGTAGTTGGAGTTCCCACTGCTAGAGCAAAAATACCTGGCACCCATAACTTAGAAGAGAAATGTTTATTTGGCTCACAGTTCCAGGAGACTCAGTCCATGGTCAGCTGGCTCCAAGGCATAAGCATCATGGTGGAAGAGCGTGGCAGAGGACAACTGCTTGGTTTATGGCAGCTGGAAACAGCACAGAAACAGTGCTAGAAAAAAGAGGTCAGGCAGCAGATGCACTCCCCAAGGTCATGGCCTCTGACCCACCAGATACACCCAGAAGCGTACCTTATGAATCATCTGGGCACTTCTTAATCCAGTCAAGTTGATGAACCACAATTAACAGCCACAAAGATGAATAATGGAAAAGCTGAATAAATAAGTTAAGGAAAAGCGAGTCCATAGGAAGTACGCTTGACAATGGAGCACTCTGCCAAGACTGAATTTGCTAGAGAGTTAGCTGATATTGTAGGGTGTGTGGTCCTTTTCTTACCCCTTCCTTCTCTACAACTTACATGACTTGTTGGGTGCAAAACAAAAGAGCAGGTGCTATTTAACTAGCAGTAGCAAAACCGATCACTGGGCATGGAACCCAGGCTGACACTCAGCTGCAGCCAAGTCCTACTCAGTCTTTACTCGGTAACCTCAGGTCAATTCATGTCCCTCGTGACACTTGGGACATGGAAGGCAGGGATCTATTGTTCTATTCCCTTGGATAAATACAAGGAAACATCCTTCACTAAAAGAGCCTTGCACACAGATTCTCATGAGGCATAAACAGCCAACTAACGATCTGATTCTGCAGAGACAGGCACTGCAGGGAGAGCGTACATCTTGTACATGGAGTTGGACTGGGCAGCAAGAGAGACAGGAGGCCACAGACTCAGCATTGTGAATAATAATAAGGTCGGTTCGTGATAACCATTGCCATGGTGATGAGCCATTTCTGTCTCTCCAGAACATACATAACTTATCACTAGCTGTCATCTCCACAGTGTCAGGCTGACACAACCTCAGGAGTCATTAACATCTCAAAGCTGCACACACCGGAGAGTGATATCTCAGCTGTTTATTTCTGCTTAGTGAGAGCTAGAAACAATCTCTCGGGTCCTTATTGGCAGGGATTCCATGCCACCTTGGGAAACAGGAAAACAGTTATATTTGGATTATGGCCTTCAAGTGTCTTATTTGAAAAGATGAGACAGTCTGATTAGAAATAATCACTTTTGAAAGAGTTTTACAAAGCCTGATATTTTCATTATTACTGAATATCTTTTAATAAAAATACTTGACAATTATTTTCTCACTCTCCTGTGAAGTCCCTTGGAAAACGTTTCTATCAGGCTGACAGTGATCAATGCACAAATGGACACAGACCTGCTTCAAAATGTGTTTAGGGTTTTAGATGACCATGTGCTAGAATACACTAGAATATTGTTATCCCTGGGACAAAATCACATAGGCCTTGGAGATAACTTTGACAAATTTATTTTACTATAATTATTCATTCACATAAAATGAGTATAATTATGATGTTGGACTATACCAATGGGATCAAACTTGCTACATTGCCTAACAAACAGTAAATGCTCAAAATCATTTGCTGAAAAAAGTAAATTGATTAACCATCACAAACCTGTGAGTGTATGGTTATAAGCACAAAGGCAACAGTGTAGTCCTGGGAAATACAGGAAGTGAAAGCAAATACTATGTTCTCTCTCAGGTGCTTACTGTTTTTCAAGTACATCAGCGGCTCGGCTCAGCCTCCAGTGCCTTGGTGCACACTGTGCCTTGCTGCCTGGAATGACCTTCTCCAAGTGTCCATGTGATAAACTCCTGCAGTCCATGCTGATCTCACTTGTCCCCAGCCCAGCCCCTTCTCCCATCCCCAACTTATGGCAGAATGGGTTGTTTTCCCTCCACGCCACACTGTCAGTGGCAAATCCTGAGCAGTGTTGATTTCTCTGACCACACTCTAGTGAGGTCTGCATCTTCAACTTCATCCTGCTCCCAGGGCCAGATGTGTGTTTCTCTGCTTTGTATTTCTGGTGCCTGCCTACAGTTAGGACTCAATAAGTGTTTGTTTTTTAAAAAATGTTTCAGTATAGGAGAAACAAGATGGAGGTTCCTGAAAGAGAGGGCTCAGCTTCATACTTGCAAGTGGCAGGGAAGAAAGTGGTCCAGAAAGGTAATAGGGGGATAGAGAAAGAAAGCAAACTTCTCCCCTTGAGGCTCTGCTCTGCCCAAATGTCCATGGGTCACTGGCACACAGGAGAGGTGGCCGTGATATTTCCTCAGTCTCTCTCTCCAGGGCCGGCACTGGAGAGCCATTTTGAAAGGCGACTACAGACACTGTGAGGGGAATTTACGTTTTGCTTCCCACCAATTCAGGCGCAGAGCAGACAACCGTAAATAATTAATGAACAGAGAACATGAAACCAAAGCAATTATACTGCTGGAGTGAAGCTTTCAGCTCTCTTCAGGAGGTGGTGGGATCTCACACTTTTACTTGAGCTTATTTTTACCTCCAACTTCTCAAGAAACCAGAACTTCACTGCAGCAATACTTCTCATTCAGAGTCTCATGGCTGACATTCTCTCTGGTGGAAAGGAACTTTCTAAGAGATCCCTTAAATACTTCAAATCTCCAGGCAGTGTACTTCAGTGTCTTTTAAAGTCTGAAGAGCATTTCCCCTGCTGGCTGTCCCCCCACCCCACCCGGGTGACCCTGCTGAACTGCTCCCCATCTCTGCCACACCTGTCTTTGATCTCAAACACACTGCACTGCAGTCCTTGGCCCCGGACTAGAGACGACTTCCAGCACTTACACAAAGGCTACTTTGAGCATTCTGCCAAGGACGTGGAAGACACTTTCTTCAAAGAAACAAATACATTTGGTCTCTAGAGTTAGCAGGAGGCCAGGTCAAGTTTTCTTCTTTTCTTTACCTCCCTACCTGTTCTTTTTCTGTCTCCGTCTGAGATGTAGCTAATTATACACCAGCGCTGGTGGAAACAGCTCCCAAAATGACTTCTTCACACGGACTGTACGCTAGGAAGAAATCTAGGTCAGGTTTGTCTTCCAGAAATGCAAATTAACAGAGTAGCCTCTGCCTGCCTGTTGGGGCTAACAAGCTTTACAATGTGGCAGAGGAAATGTTGTTCTCAGGCTCACAATTGGTAAAATGTAGTCTTTCTGCTTGGGAGGTAGAAATTGATTTTCTGAGGCTTCATGCTGTCCCAAAATGCCGCTGATGTTAAATCCCTGAAGTGTGTATGCAAAACAAGAGGGTCTGAGTGCCAGGATCGAACTTCTGACAGTCTTGAAGATAATCAGAAGGACTGGTTTTCTAACAGTAGCAGGGAAGTCATTTCTACCACAGGCCCTGTGCCCAATATCTTGCTATAACCTGGATGCAAATACAGCTCCTGTCACTAGATTTCCTCCATGGACCCGGGTTGGCCAACATCTAAGAATACAAATACAAGTGTCTCTAGAATCCAGTACAGCCTAGGTCAAAATCAGTACACATAAGAAGAAATGGAAATGAAATCATCAATGATCTCTTTCCTACCTGCTGGCATCTAACTCGGTATTCCAGGCCTCTCTATCCTAGCAGGACATCATTCTACATGTTTTCCTGATCTTGCATTACATTTCAAAATTGCATACATTTTAAATAATTAATTCCCCACATGGTTATTGTGTACCCAACGCTCTACTACTAAGAGTCTTACAAATAATCTTTCCATGTTTTTCATTCTTATGAAAAATATTTATTGAGCACCCACCAATTATTTTAGGCCGTAGTGGTCAAGTTTCACAGAGATTCTGTGCCAGGGTGGAGACACAGATAATATCAATATGTGATTCACTCAGTCCATAAAATAAATGATAATAAAAAATAGCCTCAAGTAAAGTGAAAGAGGCTGTTGAGAGAGGGAGTTAGTGAAAGTGTTCAAGAAAAGCTCTGAACCACCATATGAACCGCCATACCAGAGACAGGAGTCATGCAGAAATGCAAGCAGAGAAGTTTCCAAGCAGACAGAACAAGCAGGCCCAGTGCCCTTCCTTAGCTCACATTTGGTGCATTTCAGAAATGGCCAGAAACTAGTGAGGGGAAAAGTGGTGGGAGAAGAGATCAAATGGCAAGTGAGGGATCTAATCATGGAGGGCCCTAGAGGCCGTGGTAGGGAGTTTGCATTTTATTTATTTATAGGATAACAGGGAGCCTACTTGTGTATTTTAAAGACCATTCCACTGGCTGCTGGGTGAAGAATAGATGGTAGCAGGCAGGTGTAGAGAGAGACAGGCAGCTCTGGCAGAGGTTCAGGTTACAAAGGGCATCAGGGCAGGAAGAGGGGTGTGGGACACATTTGAAGGCATAGCTACTGAGATGCTCATTTGCTTGCTCAATAGTTCTTTGAGATGGAAAAATGGAGAGGGTGGAGTAGAGCTATGAGGCATTCGAAGGTGGATTTAATAAGTTAACCTTGTCATATTCCAGAGAAGTAGACAAAACAGAGCTGCTGGGGAAATCAGTCTCTTTTGAGAACTCAAGAGAGGAATTGGGGCAATTAAGTGTAGAATTCAGGCTAACACAGCTCATGACTTTGATTACTACCTGGAAATTTGCAAGGGCAGTTTTCATAGTGGCTGCTACTTGCAAATAACTGCTCCTGACCCCGTTATTCCCTGTGTGTCCACACCAGGGGAGACGCAGAAACTCGGCTGTTTGGTTCTTACTCGTTGAAAAAGTTCAAGTCATTGTTTGATGTTGGCTTCTCTCTCATCACTGCTGATGAGTTACCAGAGAAGAAAATGGTTTACAAACTTCCATAGCTGCTTTTGTTGCTGTGTGTTGACAAGGAGAGAATGCTGCCGGCAAAATCTGATGCAGCTGGCTGTTTGTTTTCTTGGAGGACCTAAAGGTGAATATAAATAATTTAAAATAGCTATTGTGATCTGTCAGTAGCAGGGTGACAAAATTAAAGGAATCTTGCTAAGATTGAAGAGGGAGAATGATAAAGGAACTTGAAGGAGAACATAAAATTTGATTTGGCAGAACATATTTATTGAGCGCTCAGAGTGAAAGAAACACAAAAAAAGGACTAAAAATCTACATTTACTAAGTGCTGTATATATATGCCCTTGCGTGTGGAAAGACAATGCAGAAAGTGAAATTCTTGCCATCCTTTTATACAACAGGAAATGAACAGGTTTAGCAGGTCAGGGAACTTAACCTGTTCTTCTTCCCATTGACCTTCAATTGCACCTGCTCCATTTCAAGGTCATTCTTTCCATGACCTTGGTACTGCTCTTCAGGCATTCCTTAATCTAGTGTTGCAGGATAAAGACATGCTGATGACATTCAGAAATGATTTAGGGACATCAAACAATGTTTCCTGGGAGAGCTGTCACTTATGCTGGGATTGGAAGGAAATATATGATTTAAATAAGAGAGGATATGGTAAAAGTGAAGACTCCAGGCTACTGTACAATTAGTTTTCTGTGGATTGCCAAGCAAAATTTATGACATATTTATCACATTTCTATTTGGTACAGGATGCATAAAGTACATATAAAATAATAAATAAACTATATAATGTATAAGGTACAAGTTCCATATAATTTGATACAATATATAATCAGCTTTACATATAGGCCTATAACGTAATCACATTTCTATACTTATGATATATGGTATTTCAATATTTTCGTATTCTGATATGTATACCATATATATTACACATCTCTTTTTCATAGGAGTTGACTGGTTTTCTTAGTTTCAATGTTGTGTAACAAAAAATCTGACTGCAAATCTGGTGTCGTGAGTTTCCATAATTGTTGTCAATTCCTTTGACTTCACAGGGTGTCATGTTCTTCCTCTAGACTAGAAAAAGGTTGGAATAAAGATTTCTAGGATCTTGCATAAACTTTTCTCAAAAAAAAAAGAACCAAACAACAGCATACAAATGACCAACATGTTTATAAAAAAATATTCTATTCAACACCACTAATCATCAAAGAAGTGCAAATTAAAAACACAATGAGGTAGCACTTCACACATGTTAAAATGACTATTAACAAAGCGACAAACTATGAAGTATTGGTGAGGGTATTGAGAAAGGAAACAGCATACACTGCTGGTGGAAATGAAAATCAGTGTAACCATTCAGGAAAATAATATGGAGTTTCCTTAAAAATTCAAAATAGTTTATAGTATTTACCAGTGTTTCCATAATGAACAGATTATTAAAAGCATTTCTTTAATCTAACACTTTCCATGTAGATTATTAGCCATATACAGCAGAATTATTGAGTGGTGGAGTAGAGACTGAGAATGGGAAATAAAGCTGTGTTTAGAATAATGACTTGAGACAAAAGTAAAAAGTTGGATTTTAAAGATACTAATTTAAATTATACACATTTGGGCCAAATATCATGCAGAGAGAGTTCCTTTTGATCTCTTTGGACTACACACACACACACACACACTCAAGTGAAAGAGACAAATTTACTCAATATTCTTGATTAGACTGGTTTATTTTTTTCAAGAATTTCTCTATCACTTGGAACAAAAGACATTTATTTGTCCATGGCTATGTATCTCACTTGCATGTGGATTCTACAAAGTTGTATTTAGGTACAAAGAGGAGAATGGTAGCTACCAGCTATATGTACACATGCAGAAGGGATGTGAGAGGTGTTGGTCAAAGGATGAAAATTTCAGTTATTTAAGAAGAATAAGTTCAAATGAGTTGAAATGAATTGTGCAAAATTACAACTATAGTTAATACTAGTAGCAGTAGTAGTAGCAATAATAGTAATAATAAGTTGTTGTTGCTGTGTTAACCAGAAACGATGGTGCACACCTGTAATCTCAACAGTCTGGGAGACTGAGGAAGGAGGATCAAAAGTTTGAGCCCTGCTTGGCCAATTTAGTAATTTGAGACCTTGACTCAAAATTAAAAATAAAAGAAAGGGCTGACAATGCAACTCAGTGTAAAAGCCATGGGTTAAATGCCCAGTACAGCAAATAATAATAATAATAATAATAATTATTATTATTATTATTATAATGATAATAATAATATTCTTGAAAGATTTTTCAGTGTTCTCATCATAGAAAATGGTAACTATGTCAGGTAGTGCATACTTTAATTAGCCATTCTAACATGCATGCAGATTTCAAAAAACATTATGGTGTACATGATAAGTATATATAGCTACTACTGAACTACTGAATTAAAGAATATTACTAGGGGATAATTCAACCCTAACTCTAACACTGTTTTTACATATTTAATGGACTCATAATAATGTACATACTCCTGGGGTATACGGTTTCTTGATTTGGGTATTAAAAACTGGCCAACATGTTCTACCACTGGCCACTCTGTCCTTTACATTGGCAATGGATGCAAGCACCCTGCCAATGTTGGGTGTATTTGGTTGTAGTCAAACCTTCCACTCAGTGAGCTCCCTGAGGCCGGCATGGGGTCTTCTCCACTTTTAACTCAATAACTGAATATGGCTTTTCTAGCATGATACTCTATTTAGGTGGTTCCGTCTCAATTTTTATTGGAAAATATCACTCAAAATGTGTTTCATTTCCTGCGACTTCAAAGTAGCTAATTTCTACTTGATTAAAAAATAAATACATTGTTTATATCAGTTGGGGTTTAGGTTGGAATTCCTTGTTGAAATGTTGCTTGAAAAGGCTTCATAATTACTACATATTTATCCTTTCAACAAGAAACCTCAAAACAATTTGCTAAGAAAGCTACTACTTCGCATTTTAGACTGAGGTACAAAGAGTTCAGCAACTTATTAAAGGCTAATAAATCATTCTCTGATTGGGATTTAAGCTTCTGAGCCCCAGGAACCACAACTTTCTATATAAACCCAAAAGGACAGACAAAGGAAGTGCTCTTCAGAGATTGTGTGCTCCCAGCATACTTAGCATAATCAGTTTACCTGTGTCAATTTCATTACCGTTTATAAATA